GATACCCAAGTCCTTCCCGTGTGCCCGCCTCACCCTCAGCGGCTCGGAGGGCGGCGGGGCGCTGATCTGTACCCATCTGGGGGACGCGGTGGTGCTGAGGGGACCGAGAGAAGGCGGTGGTGCTGACTGAAGGGCCCCGCCGGCTGAGGGGAAGCGGTGCCGCCTCACGGCTCCCGCCCGCCCGACGCCGTTGCCAAGGAGACGGCCATGGCGGCAATGGCGGCCGCTGAAGAGGGCGAGGGTCCGGCTGCGGCCCCCGAACCCTCGGCGTCTCCCTGCTCCTCAGGTGAGTGCCCGGGGCTGCCGAGGGTCGCAGCCGCCGCCGCTGCCGGGCGTGGTGGCGAGAGGGCGGCGGGGCTCGGGACACCGCCTGGCCGGCGCTGCGGAGGGGTTGGGGCAGAGCCGGCGGGCTGTGGGGACCGAGCGCAGCCTCGCAGGACACGGACGCGCTGGACATCGCCCCCCTCACGGCCCGCACCTCTCGCCGCGGGCAATTACCTCAGTTTGGATGTTTGCACGGCCAGACCAGCGCGTCCTTGGCAGGGAACACTGTTTGGGTCATCACCAGCTCTCCAGCATCCTCCCCTTCCAGCAGTTTTTCTCCCGTTAAAGCCAGTCTCCTCTACAGGCCTCCCGTTCCTCTGAGTCGCAGTCCCAGGGAGAATAAACCAAGCCCGGATTTATCCCTTACCTGGCTTCCCCAGGGCCCTGGGCAGGAGCGGCTGCTCCCCCTGTTCCTTTTTTCCTGGCCGCAGCAGAACTTCATCCCCGACTCCAGAGCACTCCAGAGGCTTTCCTGGAGCCCAGCTGTGCTCCTGGCTGAGGAGCCACCTCCCCTGAGCCCCTCTGTCCCCGCAGGTGTTGCTCACAAACCCGACTGCCAGGTGCTGGCTGGCCCCAAGGGCTGCCTGCTGCTGGCAATTTGGGCTCCATGACATCCCAGTTTGGATGGATACTGAGGTGACTGGAAGTTGCAAGGCAAGATGAAGACAAAAGGATGCACATCTTTTGATCCAACCCAGCCAACTCGGGACTGCCTTTACAACACTCAGGACTGGGTCCCGTTTCCCAAAGGACTGGATCTGGGCTGAGGTTTCCACAGGACATTGAAACCTGCTCAGTTCAGACCTAAGTGCCCATCACTGTGCTCAGCTGTGCCTCAGCTCAAGGCAAGGCATTACTGGAAAATTAACACCAAAAAACCACAGCATTATAGGCAATTCATGATACTGGAATTCAGTTTTAGGAAGATTTTGTTGCATCAGAGTGTTGCATCACTCCTATTAAACATTAGTCACAGCCAAAAATCCAGTGCAATTTTACATAAAGCTGTAAATACAGCATGGCACTGTTACCATATTGGTTCCTTTTATACTGACATATAGGGCTCATGCTTATCTCTGTGCCCAGCATGCAAAGGGATTACATTTAGAAACTGCTCAGCTATTTTCTCCCACTAAAGATAAAACACATGAAAATTTTGTTTACTGGTTTGTGAATAGTGATAAAGGGATGTTTTCAACTGGAAATGTTGAAACTGAAAAACATTGCAAACTTTCAAGAAGGAGTCACAAGTGCTTCCAGCAGCAGTCAGGCACCGGGCTTTGACTGGGAGACAGGGAATGAGAGCACTGGCCACCAGAACTTCCCTCTCTATCAATCTACCTCCATCACAGCTTGGAAAATGTTGTGGGAGAACAGGAGACCAACTAAAATGATTTTCTTAATACCAGGTGTACCGAGAAAAGGATTAATCTGGATTTGAATGAGTTCATGCTCTCTATCAAAACAATGACACAAGCTGGCAGAATGAAGGTAGTGAGTCTGTTGCTGTTTGTCAACAGATAAAATTGTTGCTAAGCAAATGTTACAAGCTTGGGATGTGTGGTTAGGGTTTCAGGAAGCCCTCCCCAGAGCATGTCTGTCTCAAAGTCACACTAGCAATCCTCATTTTCCATTAAACCATCTGTTACAGGTGAAGTGATAAAAAAATTTATGAAGTATACAGGGTTGATAGTATTTACCTAATGAAAATTGACAAGATGCTGCAGTTATATTTTCACTTTAGAAGCTTTTTTTCCCTTGCTTATAACTTTACATGACCCTGGATAGCGTTTTTTTATCCCACCTGTCTTTCTTTGATGCTGCTACTTTAGAAACTTCTAATAAAATTTGATCCAGTCACTTTCAACAAATGCTGAAAAGAAATATTAATTTTAACAGTTAAAATGTTATGGTTGGTTTCATATCAATTGTTGGCTCTTAATGCTTTGAAGCAAAGACTTCAAACTGGGTAAGGACTCAGTGGTGGCTGAATGGTGATAACAACAGACTTCACTATTGCAATAAAAATAATTTCAGTTATGCTCATGGAAATAATTTTATTGCTGTGTGTGAAATATTAAAAGAATACTGGGATAAGCATCTCAAAAGCACCAGAAAAAAATCTGATCAGGAATAAAATTCTACTGAATTATGCATTATACTGTAAGCAGAAATGAAAGTGTGCAGTAAGTGTAAGTTGTGCCATCAATCCCATGTTCTGCATGGGACAGAGGTTATAGGGAGCAAGCATCTGAAGGAATATCCAAGATAATCCATGAAGTAAATCCAAATTCATATGTATCGAATATTATATCCATTTGTGCCTTCATAAAGGTTAGTTACTAGCAGGTTTTTACCAACTGCAGTTCTGCTCATGTTCTGTGGCATTACTAACCTATGTTCAAGGAGAATGTCACTTCTTCAGTGTTTGCTGCTTCAGGGGGAGAAAGAAAGGAAGAGAAAGCAAGTTCTCATCTTAAACAAGTTCCTGAAAAAATGCTGTGCAAAATCCAGGTGCAAATCATGAATAACAGAGGGAAGAAAGTTTTTTGAAGTAAACCCAAGTTCCTTACTGCTGCAGGACGATGGGAAGTGGGACAAAACCATAAGAGAACATTTAAGCTTGTCAGTTCCATCTAAGTATCTTAAAAAACGTTTCTTTTGCTGAATTTCAGTGGTGTAAGTACTGTAAGAGCCTTCCCTGCAGAACCTTCCTGCTGCTGCTCCTCACAGCCCCTGCAGAGTTTGCATCACAACTTTTCCCTGTACTCAGGAGTCAGAAAAAAACTTCCTGTATTGAGGGTTTGCTCAGAAATTGCTTCCTGAGGCTTCAGGCTCTAAAAGCCAGGCTCTGTGGGGACTCCAGTGTTCACTTCTAGCAGGGCATTACTCTGAAGTACCCTTATTTCTCAGCTCTAAGCTTTAAGACTATAGGTGTAACTCCTGCCAGCGGGATAAAAATCTCTGCATTTATTCCCTTTCACTGGACAAAATGCCACAGAAAGCACAACATGGTAGGGATGAGAATGAACAAGTCACATGTGACAGATTTAAGTTATTGCTATTTAAGGATTTAATTGTTTTATATAAGAATATACTTTGTTTATGATCAGAATGAGGGTTATGTAAGACCTAAACAGAAAGGGATTTAAATAATGCCATGTTTGAATGGAGAACATCTGAGAGCAGCTGACCTATTCAGATTTCACTGCAAAGAGGAAGACTTTGCATTGTTTAACTACCCACTTAAACACTTCTGCAAAGGAGCAGCTTCTAACAACACCTTCACCCAGCATGGCTGGACGCACAGGGAGGGAGCTGAGGGCCTTCTCTGGCAGGGAAAACAAGAGGGACAGTTCTCAGAAATTTGCCAACAGTTGACCCAACCTCCAAAACTAGGCTGGACACAGAACTTCCGAAGAAATGAAGGGCAATAGCTACAGAAACTACAACTGGCATGTACCTATGGTACAAAAATTACCTTTCTATGTATTCCCAACCCTCAGTCACCTTAGGTCATCTTTTTTCTACTTTTCCTGCAGTTTTCTCTCAGGCTTCCTTTCCAGAATGGGAGGTCTTGCCTCACAAAGTCTGTTGGAATTGTGCATCCTTCTGCATCTCTCTCTGCAATCTCACCTTCTCACAGACATCCACAAAGCACCCAGCAATAGCCAGGCAGATGCTGGTCCCATGTACAGACTACACTGCAATAAATAAAAATCCCAAACAAACCAAAACCCAAGTATTCTCTAACAGATGTTCCTTCACCTTTTTGAGTTGTATGTCCTGTAAGAGTTCTGGAGGATGGGCTGACCCAAGACTTGCTGAAGCTGATAGGAAGCTTCCAATCCACTTAGGAAAGCTTCAGAAAGGCTCCCTACAATATCTGACCCTTTCTGAGCCTCCAGCCGCAAGTGCTGAGACTAACTAAAAGAGACTAAAAAACCTAAAAGAAAAAAAACCAAAAAGCATTCAGAATTGAGGAAAGTGCAAAGTACTGTGTTGAAGTTTTGTCAAGAAGCATATGATGCATGACCTGGAAGAACCTTTTCCCAGACCAGTGCCTTGCTGTCTGCATCTTTTTTCCCCCCAAGGTTTCTGTTGCAGAGAAATTCAACTTATACTTTTATGTACATAGCCTAGCAGGAAGATCATGCATCAGCTACCAAAAATAAGGAAGGTGCTCAGGCACTGATGAGGTGATGTTAGTATCAATTTTAGTATCAATTTTATGTTTCAGCAAGTGCAGAGGACACGGTGTCTTGCCATTTTTTTTCCCATTGAAAATGACAGATGAACAGCCTCCCGTCAGGCTTCCAAGTAATTGTAGATAATAACAGTTCCTTGAATGGAGAGCAGTTACCCTACAGCTTCTTAACTTAATTTTCTCCTTGAATGAGACCTCTTCGGAACAGTTGGATGACTATAAAGAAAAATTTTGCAAGGTGCTATTTGGGTTTATGTAGTCTTTATATGTGCTGCCCATAATAAAAGATGAATTAGTTCAAAGCCTAGTGTTCTGTCAAGGTAAAGTGGATATTTTCGTGCTGTGAATATTGTCTGATTCCTGATTTTACTGGCATGTCATTATAATCTCATCTGTGAGATTACATGTTTTCTTTTTTGTCCATGCAGAAAGTACTTCCTTGAAAGAAGACAATCTTTCCTATCCTGGGATGCTACCAGTAGATAAAAAGCTTCTAAACTTACAGATCTACAAACTTCTTCAGTGTGTTCACGAGAAAGACAAGAAGCAAATAGAAAATCTGATCCAGAAAGGATTCCCAGATCTCATTAATTACACAGAGCCTAAGGAAGGATACAGCGCCTTACACTTGGCCTCCATGAAAAATGACATTGAAATGTGCCGCTTCCTGCTGGAACACGGAGCTCATCCAGATGTCCACGACAACATGGGATGCACTCCAGCCATGAAAGCAGCTGAGCTAGGCCATGAGGTGATTTTGGAATTATTAGCAAAAGCTAATGCAGACATGACTGCTGTGGATAATGAAGGGAAAGGTGAGTGAGAAGGAAATACCACAAAGCAATCCCTTAACTGTATGATGCGCTTACTACATGTGATGTGTCCTACCTGTGGAGAGGAGCTGTGGTTGAGGATTATCCTTACAGCCCAACAGAAGCTCTTGGCCATACAGCTTTGATGAAAATAATTCTCCATGAAGAGTCTAGGCTTTTAAATCATGAGTCTTCCAGTAGAGAGCTGAGAGGTAATTTATGATTGAGAACTGCATTCCTCCTATGACCTGTGACATAGTAAACTCTGGTGTACTCCCCAAGTAAAGACTCTAAAGTAGAAATTTCTTTTGCATGGATACACCCTCAGTGAAGGGATCTCTACTGCAGACTGGTCAGCTGTGAAGCTCACAGCCTCATTACCCTTCTGGTAATTTCCTTTTGCACCCTAATCTCCACTGGTTTCCTTTGCAGGTATTTTGTTTTACTGCCTTTTACCTACAGCACGCCACTCCCACTGCCTGCAAATTGCCTTGGAATATGGTGCAGATGTCAACAACTGTACTACTACTGGGAGGTCTGTGCTTCTACAAGCCTGTGAGCAAGCTCATGAGGTTAAAAAAATATGCCTGATTTTCCTGGAGAAAGGAGCAGATCCGCATGCGAAAGACCCGGTATGAGCATTTCTGTAACTAAGAACAGATAGAGGAGTATACAGCAGATTACATGGCCTTAAATCCTCCCATTAAAATAATAAAGCAGTGATAATTGCTTAACTCTGCAGCCATACCTCTTCTCTTCTGTACCACCCTTTCTTTGGAGGAGAGGGATTTAAGTCTTCTTTTAGATTTTTGTAGGTTTAGAGCACAAATATTTCCCCGAACTTAAATGTAACTGGGCCAGCTCTGAGGAGCTCCAGTTCACTGTACCTCAGCGGAGAAGTGCTGATTTGTACTTGCCTTGATGTGTCATTAGATTTTCAGAGTTGAAATAATATTCACTAAAAGGTAAGTCCATTAGGGAAAATCTGATGAGTAATCAAGGCAGGAATGAGGCGTAAGAAACTTTTTTTTTCTCTTGTATGTCTCAATGATTTATTTGTTTGCTTCCTTAATTTAACAAAGACCTGAAAGACTGAAGCTCTGTGCTGTTGATAAATCAAGAAGCTCAAGCTTTCCCTTAGAGTTATCCAAAGCAAACATCATTATCTAGGAAAAGACAACATTAATGTATTAGTTTGAACTTTTCCCCACAGAACCATAGTGAAATTCCCTGTTTGCTTTGCCTTCCCCATAGCACTCCTCCAGCCATAGCTCCTTATTCTCCTGCTTTCATAAGCTGAGGTGGTATTTTGTGTTAGATGTTGTAAATATGCATGAGAAGATACTCAGAGAATAAAGGATTCCTTAACTAAGGAATGGATTTTCATGGGCTTTATTCAAGGGACTCAAGCCTTCAGTGGGATCTGACTACCTTAGCAGCATTATGACAAGATTCTGGAAGTTTACCTGCAAGTATCTTTGAAACTATTAGACTCTTCTCCTTTTCCCAGTAACAGCTAAAAGGAGACCTCCAGTTTTATGCCAGCTCGGAACAGTCAGATCCCTCTGCCGCAGCCTTAGCACACGGAACAAACCGTGCGATGTTGTCTCGCTCCCCTGCAGGCCACGGGACGCACAGCCGTGATGGAGGCTGCAAGGGAAGGTGCTGCCGAGGTGGTGCTGGATCTGCTGCGGAGGGGAGCCGATGTGAACCTCTTTGACTTTGAAAGACACAGCGCTGCACATTTCGCAGCCAAAGGAGGCTTTTTGGAGGTATTAACGTTTGTGGTGTTAAAGCATTGCTGCAAAGCCAAACCTGGGTGGGTTTTTTTTTGTTTTTATAGGGTTTTGCTTTGGGTTTTTGGAGAGTATTTTTGTTGGGGTTTTTTGAGTCCATTATCTCAGCTGATCAAAACATAATAATCAGTAACCAAAAGCAGATTCTTTTAAGTATCAAAGGGATTCCAGCAGTGATAGATAGCCCAGACAGGGGCTTAAAATGAGCTGGCAAGAAGATTGTCCTTGGTGTCTACAACTAGACAAGGCTTCTGTTTCATCAGTTAAATAAGCATAATAGTATAGAAAACATTAATGGTATATGTGCATTGACCAGCTGGACATGGGAGAGAACTTCATTATTAGAATGGGAATGTAAGATATTGCATTTATTTGTAAATCAATCTCACATTTTCACATGTTAAGAAACAGACAAGATTGTTGGTGGGACTCTGTTTGCTTTTCTAGATTCTGACGATTATTTCAGGTTATAATGCAGACTTGAAACTGGTTGCTATGAATGGTAACACACCACTTCATTACGCTGCGGAGGGAGGATTTGCAGATTGCTGCAGGTATATAGGACAAAGAGGTACACTAAAACTAAGTTACTTTGCAACTATTATCTATATTCTATTTCTGTGCTAAAAGGAAGATTTTGTTTGGGTATCTCTGAATGATTTGATTCTTGGATACCCTGTGGCAAAATTCTCATTCAGAAGGGTCTAACAAGGGCTCTTATCTCATGTGGATGAGAAAAAATTACTTAAAGAAAGCAGCAGAAACACCAGGGATTTGTATTACTTGGTGCTGGACAATATTAAGTGGTTTTGGGTTTAGTTTGGTTTAGATGTATCTTATTAAAACTTCCAATAAAAAATTTTTGACTTGATGATAATTAAAAAAAAAATCTCTGTGCAGTCATGAGGAAAACTTGATGCCCATGGGTATTGAAACATGCCCTAAAGCAGGTGTGATCCTTTCCTGACTTGATCAGATGATCATGGCACTTCAAGCTTTGATCCAAGAGGACCACACAAAATCCCACATTCTGTTCTTGTGATCAAACAAGTGATCCATTGCCAAATTTTAATGTTAGGGTATAGAAATAAGTGACACTTTAATCTTAGTTTGCTTCTTAACCTTGCTCACCACTTCAAGTAAAAATGTAAAGTTTCCACTGAACTTCTCTCTTTTTATATGTATTCATGAGAGGATGAATAAATAGAGCATGGGTTGCTCAATGCTTCTCCCTTTGGGAAAAAAATAGGGACATGTGGCTGACCTTCCAGTCTGGGACCAATGACGTGGTTCCACGTACAATTGCTATTTATAGCTGAAACAGTGTAAAATTGTAGGCCTGTGGCAATGAATTGCCTGTGTATTACAAGTTTCTTATATTACATAATTAGGAGTTCCACTGCACTATTAGCCCAACTGTGTCCATATTTCTAGGCTGTGATCCTACATGGACAAATATGGCAAATCTGAGCCCAAGGGATACTGCCAAGAGTGCTGGGTTTAAAGCAGCAGCAAAAGTATTGCGCAAAGCTGAAAAAGCCTTTAAAAAACCAGATAAGACCCTTGCCTGGTACCTGAAGGTGTACGACTGGTCCCAGCAGCACAAGGATGCCATCTGCAAGGAGCTTGAGACTGATGAAGAAGGAGATGGGATGGTATCCAGAAATGATTTTATATCACTTATTTGGAAGCACTGCGGCACTGTGCATGTGGATGAGGAACAAATAGAAGTTCTTGCTAAAAAGCATGAAGTATCTACTGACAGGATCAGCCTTGATGATTTTTTTAAAGGCTCCAAATATTTGCAGAAAGCCTTTCTGCTATCATCCTTTGGGCCCAAATCAAAGAAAAAGAAGAAACCGCCAAAAAAAAAAGGCAAAAAAGGCAAAAAAGGCCTCCCTGTGCCGATTTGTGTAATACCAAAGAGTGAATGTCCACTTAGGGAAGATGGCCTCCCTACCTACATGGTTGAGGCTGTCCCACACATTCCTGAAAAGCAGCGTTTCAAACGGGAACACCAATCCACCCATCCACTGCTCGATGACCGTGCCTGGTACGTAGATGAGCCAAGGAAAACCCTCATAGATATCAACTACCTTGTCAGAGAAGGAGACTTTGTGTCTCTGCAGAAAGCATTCGACGAGGATGTGCCAGTAGACATAAAAGATAAATATTACAAAACACCTTTGATGGTTGCATGTGCAAGTGGCAACATAGTTCTCGTGGAGTTTCTTCTGGAAAAGGGGTAAGATAATTTCAATTTAATTGCTATTTTGGGAAGGCTTTCAAAAGCATAAATATCCAGTAAATATCTAAGTGCAAAAGACTATGGTTTGCTTTTTGCTTACATAACATTTATTATTAAAATTAGTTCCCTAAGATCTCAAGTCACAGGAGGTAAGTTTATTATTTTTCACATTTTAGTAGAATGGAAATGAAAGCAGCCAAGAGATAAGTTCCCCAGGACTGAAATTTTTTGGTGTCTGGACTGCTGACATTTGGTCAGCTGCAGAGTTCATAGCCATGTCTCAAGTAGTGCATCCTCACAAGCAAATTCTCAAAACTGGTGAGTGATTTTGGGGAAATCTGACTCAAAGGACTTGCCTTAAATCATTGAGGTGATCCTGGATTTTCCTGTTCCACATGCCTGGTTTAAACTTTTGCTTTCCTCTGCAGCTCAGGCAGGCTGAAACAGCAGGATTTACATCAGAAACCCCTGCTACTAATTAGCCTGCTCCTCATTTTAGAAGTGCTTCAACAATTCTGTAGCCTGCAGACACACTTGTGAACAATTTCAATGACAGCTTAAAAATTAAAGCAATTTCAGAAAGATTCAATATATTTGTGTAATAGCATAATCTTTTATTGTCAGACTGCTGTGGTCCTAGAATCCTTTACATAAATGCTTAAATGAATATTTACCAAAGATATTTATGTTGACTTTGTTCTCTCTACCCAAAGATAGAATTCATGTTAATATTAATACCTCAGGGAAAGTGGCTGTAGTCATTGCTCTGCTTCCTGCAAAGGCTAACAGCACATGGATCTTTACACACTCTGGTAATTACACTGACATTCCTAGAGCATATGGAAAATTGTGTAATGTGTATATTCAGGTTTTCCAAAGATAAAGATGTAGAAGATACCAAATTAATCCAACAGATTAATCTCTACTCCTTTTACCAAGCCTCAGTAGACACACTGGAGTCACATCATATTTAACAATAAGACCTAGAAAGGCAGTAACTTAGCTTAAAAAATATTACCAGTTTTAAGGTTTTTTCAATTGACAGAAATGAAAATGGAGAGGAAAATTATCAGTAGAATTTAGGTTTGTATCTCTCAGCATCATGGACTTGCAGTTTGGCACGGGCATTCAAATACCTTTTACAATTCAGTACAGAACCACAAACCATATTGAATACGAAACAAAACATTTATCCAGACAAATGTTTAACATTGATTATGTTTAAAATTAAATTGGTGGTATCTACTTTCTATTTTCCTCCAGAAAGAATTAGAAAGAAATGGAATTTGGTCTCATGGGAAATTCTGTGCTTGATGGGCAGAAATGCACAGGAATTTTTAAATCAGTGCTGCATTGTCCCTGTTCCCATTGATTGGTTTCTTTCTGGTAGAATGAAGTTAGGAAAAAGGATTCAGGGGCACAGAGTCTGAGTGCAGGCAAAGAGGTTGGGTTGAGAGAGAAAGTGAAATAACTGAAGTAGCTTATTTTAATGAGAATTAAAACAAATTAAAACTGCATATGAATAAACCATAACAGCTTAGTGACTGAAAGATAGATAAACATGGTAGGTCAGGGGAATGTACTAAGATCTCCTCAAAGGTAGAATTCTGAAAAAGACTAAAAATTTAAACAAGGAAAGGAGAACAGATGAATCTGTGCTTTTATCTAGACAATTACATGTCCTGAAGTGCAAACAGCTATCCCTGGAAGCAGCTTCTTTCATAATTTTTCTTCTTTCTCCCTTCCACCTTGTCTTTTGGGAAGATAGCAGCTTTTTGTCCACCAAGTGGGACAGTGACCTTAACTCCCTTCAGGACCTTCAGGGCTGATAATGCTTTTCCTCTCAGCTTCATCCAAAAGCATCATATTGCAAGGATATCCCCTGAACTAGCCCTTGCTTTCTGCAGAACATCCCAGTTTTAATTTGGGAGCAGAAACAGATCCTAGTCAAGCAGAACAGTAGCTGAATAGTTTTTCAATGCTCAGATTCCCGAGGGCAGACCTTCTGTAACTCCTCTGTCGAAGGGAGAAGCCAATGCAGAGGAATGAAGCAGGCAGAGGGCAGCAACACTGAAAGGAAAGGTGAGCACTTCCCTCTTGTGCAGGCGAGCCCTGCCATGTTGCCACATGTCCTGTAGCACCTGTTCTTGGCCCAGAAGCGTACTTTTAAAATTTCTTATTCTGCTTTCTGCCGTTCTCAGTGAAGCTGGAGCACGAACACTAACAGCCTTTCACAGGACTAAGTTGTTTGAATGCCTGGGTTTTTTCCTGTACCCATGAAAAGTTCCATGTGAAGGACACTGATGGCCTAGGGGGGGGGACATGAGCAGCACTCAGGCACACTTACAATTGCTATTCTGTGACAAGTTCAGAGACTCAAAGGGTGTCAGAGCAGCAGTAGCAATTTGAAAATAGCTATTTATATTGAATATGCCATTGCAGTGTGCAGTTTCAGTTGATTGCACTTTGAGCTGGGGCTGTCACTGTGGATACTTGACAGCTTCAGCTACCACAACTGCTCTTACTCCTGTGCAGGGCTGATGTAAATGCAACAGACAACTTCCTGTGGACTCCTCTGCATCATGCTTGCTATAATGGACACCTGGATATTGCTGAGGTGCTCGTGAAGGCTGGAGCATCTGTGAATGCCCCTGCAATAGGCAGTGCCACCCCGCTGATGAGAGCCATTGAGGCCTGCAGGCTGGACATGGTCTATTTTTTAATCACTGCAGGTGCTGATGTCCAAGCTACAAACAGCAATGGTAAATAGCAATGTCTCCAAAATAGGCTGTTTCTTTATTAAGAATGCCTGGAACACTTTGAGAACTGTTCTGCATTTAGGGTTGTGGTCAGGATTGGGATGAAGGTAACAGGTTCAGTTAGTTTTCTCCAGTCTGGAATCATTATTGAAAAAAAAGTCAGCTTTCTTGGGCTTTACATATCTAGAAAATGAGGTAACATGATTAATTACTCAATTCAGGAGACTGTTACTCCTCACAAGATACATACAGAGTTATAAGTGGCTTTAATGAAAACATTATTTCCAGTTATTATTATTTGAGGGAAAATTAGATTTCAGTTGTGGCCCAGAGTATAGTCTGCCACTCATTTAAGTTATTTATTTTTAGGCACAGGCAGCCATGGTTAAAAAACTTCTTTGCTGCTCTACATGTAAATATAACTCCAGAGAAAAAAATACTTAACAGAAAACCAAATCTGAGCTGGTACTGAAGTGTTATCTCCTCCCAGCTGATCCCTCATTCAGTGTTATTTCCATTGTCTCCAGAGTAACTTAAAAGTTAACATGCATCACCTTTCAAGCTCTTGCTCTAACATAGGAAACAACATTGCTACACAATGAGACTTTCCTTGCCAAAATGCCTAGTAGCGAAACCCTGCTTGCAGAAGGGATGTGTATTCCTTATTTCTTGTATCATGTGGAGTTCTGGTTCACACAGCAGCTCACATGTACTTTACAGTCAGAGTCTCATAAGAACCTGGACATATTTTTTCCTTCATTAAGCACTGAAGCTGTTCATTTACACCATAGAGCTTTCCCTTGCCAGCCACAGAGCAAGTACAGGCAGAAGGAGATGGCTAGCACAGTACAAGGTTAGGAATGCAAACCATCTCCTAGTGCTAAATGTTCTCAGCTCTCAGAGAACAAAATGACAACCTGCAGGACCAGTGTATTAAGCTGCAAATGTCAGAACATTAAGAACAAAGCAAGCAATACAAGAATTCCTGCAATATTCCTGCAATGTTACTGCAAAATGAGTTTCAAGGCTTGTTTCTGCCAGGTCTTATTTCTGCCAGCAGTGCTGATGACCGCTAGTCCTCACACCAATGTCAGGCATGCTGCTGGCACATGGGATGGGTAATAAAATACTGGCCATATTAAATTCAGTTGATTGTCCAGTTGCAATAAACCAATGCCAAAGTTAATTTTCATGGTTTACACAGCTATTTATTTTTTAAATACAGGAAAGACTGCCCTTGATCTTGCTCAATTATTTGAAGATGCCACAATAATTGAACTGCTCAAAAATCAACTGCAGATTTTGGCAGAACAAGAACAAGAAAAAGAAGAAGCAAAGCCAGCAAAAGGTGGAAAGCCAAAACCAGCAGAGCCACCGAAACCTGTGAAAAAAGAGGTATGAGAGATGGTAACAAAGAACTGATTTGCTAATAGTTAGCAGGAAACTTCTTTCTTTCCTTTCTTTGCCACCCAATTCTCTCTAACGCTGTAACTCAGGCAGCTTTGTTAAAGTATTTTCAGATGCCAGTGCTTCTTCTTGTGAGTATTAGAACTTGTTCACTGGTTGAAATTTGTCTTGGTAATTATAAAAACATCATGTCTTTCCCAGAAATACATAAGTCCTGTGTCACTGACAGGACACAGAAAAAGATTTCCTTTTCTTTTTCGTTCCTCCTGAAGTATATGCTCGTCCAGCTCTGTTGTGGCAAACACTGAACAACTGGAAAGCGTAATTTCTTAAAGGGAGAACCTCTTTTTTTCACAAGATAAGAACAATACCCTTCGAACTGGTAAAAAGATTTTTTATTCTCCTAGTTGAACTCACTGAGACAATACCAGGCTTGCTAACTTCTTATTTTCCATTTTGTCTCATATCCTTCCTCTTCCACTATTTATCTGAGTCCCATTTCTCAAATCCCACACTGATGTTTGCCTGTTTTATTCCTGAATGCTCTGCCTGCCTTGAGCCTTGAGCACCTCAGCGTTGCCCTATTCCCAAACTGACATCAGCCCCTGTGACCACATGCAGGGTCTCTTATTGTGGGTGAGACCTTCCTGATTCACCAGTGGTACTTGTTGGTCACATCCAGGATGCTGTTTAGGGAGAAGATGCAATTGTATCTGCATGGCTGGAAGTGTCCTTCAGCTGCCCTGGACAGTGCAATAAATATGTCCCAGTAGCTAAATGTTGGCACCTCCCTTTCACAAAGGTTTTGAATGTCAGGGACAGCACAGGACTTTCAGAGACAGAAGGATGACAACCTTAGGTGCTTGTTTATTCCTCACTTGGAAGGGGATGGGATCACCAGTGGTACAAGGTGACAGTCTTGGGAGTCATGAAGAGCAGTTAATGTTTTAGTGCCCGAGGAGGAGAGGTGCCTTTTACCTTTCAAAAGGATGGCCCTTGCAATTTTTGATTTTTAAAAATAAGCTTTGAGAAAAACAGATTCTGAACAGATTAAACATTGTAGCAGAGTATCAGAAGATGCAGGATGCATGCCTTCCTTCTGAACGTGACTTATTGTTATAATTGGTACCTTCTTCCCCTTCAGTCTCCTGAGGAATCTCAGCCACCCGAGGAAGAGCCTGTTCCTGAAAAGAAAAAGCGTTCCCGTAAGGGCAGTGCTGCTTATTGGAAATCTTTGGCACCGAGAGAAAACAAGAATGACATCTCCTTCAGACCCAGAAAAGTATGTACAGCAGCAAAACTTGAGTGCAGTTTCATGGTAACTTAAAGGTACCTTGCTGAGATCAAAACCCAGAACAATCCAATGAAATTTCTGCTATTCAACTAGCTTAGAGATGATGTGACGCAGCCTGGAGAGGTTGCCACCAAAAAACAGTAAATTAAAGAGTTTGTGGATGTATATTATATAGTAACACATATATTTATATAAAACAAATATTTGTGGAAATCAAACTCTTATCAGGTTTTAAAAAAGGATTAAAGTGGAGCCACAGTAAAATAAAAATGCAACTACATTTATGATATATATTTTTATACTCCTGCTTTTAAAAGGTGGGAGTCTATTTGCATAACATGAGCACCAGCTTCTATCTTGCTCTCTTGATTAGTTATCACATGATGACTTTTGTCAGTGACAGTTAATGAACTAGATGGATCACAGCACACTAAATATTTGCCTCCTAGAGTTGGAATGGTAGAAATGTAACTTTTCTGTCAGGGTCTTGTTAATTCACACTTAGAAATAACTGAGAAACAGAACAAGATAATCATAATAATATAATAATAATTAGTGAGGTAATTTTTGCAGTATTTTTTTTCTCCTTAAAAAGGAAAAGAATACCACTGCTGGCTGAGCAGTTGTGTTTGGAGTTTGTTTATCATTTCCCTAACCCTGATTTGTGCTAGTTTCCAGAGCGGTCTCAGAGGACTTAGGCTACATAGCTGATGACTATACAGCTAATTACTATTTTCCACTCTGAGGATCATGAGTCAAGTCAGTAATTTTAAATAATTACCTTAAGACCATCTTTCCCATATTATCAGAGGCCATGGCATGTTATAGATTGGAAGTGACAACAAGAGAATGCTCTGTTTATACACACACAAATTGTTGACCTGTCTTCTGCCAGGAGGCCTCACTGCTTCTTTTCTATGTCTCATAATGGAAAGGAGTGCTAGAACACAGCTCTCTTTGGCTAACAGTAGCTTCTTAGTGCTTCTGTTGCAAAAGTCCCATTCAAATTAACTACAAATGCCTTTATTTTGTAGATATGGAGCCCTGATGCCACAGCAATACAGCTTGCAGAGAAGCGAGAATTACTTCAGGAACGCGCTACTCTTGTTGGTCACATGGAAGATTTTACAACCCTCTTCAATAGAAAATTTGAGTAAGAACAGCATCTGGAAGAAGCTACTTCAACACATATTTTGAGGAGACAAAGATGTAAAGGGCTACTCCTTTTCAAGGAAGGAATCGTACAGTGCTCAGTAAATGTATCTCAGTTACCATAAAAGAAAGTCCTATCAAGTTTTTCCTCTCTAGATTATGTTGCTTGCACACAATCTTTTGTTAAGGGCTTAGTCTGGAAAAAGATTTATCCTCATGTGATTCTAAGTCTTGAAACTGACTCAGTATACTTCATGGATAGTCAGTGTTTTGACACACACATGTCCTTTGTAAAAGTGTAGCTTTATAAGGCTTTCTTTACCCCAACACAAAGCTTCTTCCTGGAAGATACATTACCCTCCTACTCTAAATATATAGCTATGAAGATGGCATTCTGTAATTAGCTACGACAGCAATGTTCTGATTTGTCTGTAGAGGCAACAGAGAACTCAGAATTTAAAACCAGAACCATCACTGCCCAGTGTATTTCTTTCATGTTCTCCCATTCATTTGTCAAAGTGCACGCGAGACCTGAAACTGCTTCCACCCCAACAGGCACATACTGTTTTCCTTCTGATTTCTTGAAAGGATCATAATGTCTATATAATAATCTGTAATCCATTTGCCATGTCTCCCACAGACCCTTGTTATCTCCCAGATGTAGGAGGGCTCTCGTAGGTGGTGCTGATGGAGACCTGCATTACAGAGTCCCAAGCCACTGAGATCATTGAGTCCAACCTTTGACCACCATGGCACTGAGTGCCACATCCAGTCTTTCCTTAAATATCTTCAGGGACAGTGACTCCACCACCTCCCTGGGCAGCCCATTCCAATGTTAACCCTTTCCATGAAGAAATTTCTCCTAATGTTCAACTTGAATATGTATCTCTTCATCCTCCTGGTAATTTTTCTAACCTCTTCCAATTTGCTCAAGGGGGTTATTAACACTGTTCTGGGGCATCCAAAATTGATATCACATTCCTTTTTCCAATTTTTTTGCTTTTAGCTTCTTTCTAAGAGATTTGTTTTGCTCCATCACTTCCTGAACAACCAAATGAAGCAACTCCCTGTAAGCATTCCTGAGAGCTGCAAAGCTTTCATCAATAATGAGCCTCTGAGGGTTGTCCTAACTTTTCTCCTGAAGAAAAACATTCCAACAGATTTGGATCACTCCATCACAGCCAAGGGATCCCGCCTCTGATGCCATTTTAACATTATGACCCATTTCTGAGGCCAGGTAACTGAGGTTCTTGTTAATATTAGGGAATAATAAATCCCCTCAGGGGGAATCAGAGTGAAACAATACTGAATGACCAGTGTGTGATTTTTATCTGTCAGCATAAAACTGCTGGCTGCAAATGATTGTAAATAACGAAAATAGTAGTGCTTCAGTTAAGTCATAGAAGGCAGTGTGGGAAAGGAGCCCATGAACAATTGTAAATGAAACTGCATCTCTGAAGGAAGGAAAAGCAAAGGGGCAATTTTCTGAACAGTAGCCATCAAAATAAAATCAAGCAGCAGTCAAAAATTATACTGTAAGGTAAAACTGTGTTTCTGTCAGAGCTCTGTCATGGAGATTACCTAGGACAGTTCACAGCCTTCACATGTCCAATGAGGCTTTTCCTTGTTCTTAGTGTAAGGCTGAGCAGCATACCATTCCTTGTGGGATCCTCCACTACTTGTGTCAGGAAGGGATCATCAAAGCTTTCCAGGAATCTCCTGGACTATCTGTACTTTACTGCATTGCTTATCCAGCAGCTGTCAGGGTAAAGTCCCTCACAAGAGGGGAGAAACAGGACCTGTGATACTGAGGCTGCTTTGAGCATGCTGCATTGTGGCATCACAGTGGTGTCAGAATTAGGAGGCTGTGGCCTGTGCAGGACACCCACTGCAGTCCCTAAGGGATGGGGGAATAGGAAAACCTGCTTGGCCCAGAGGTAGTAGAGCTACCTCACAGCTTCCCTCACCATCAGACTAGCCTGGGACAGTGTGACACAGAGCAGCACTGCAGGCATACAGTCCCTTAGCCAGGGGCAATACTTGAGCAGGTGACATCCCAGCTGCCCCTGGCCCAGCAGGGCCAGGACAAGGGAGCAGTGGAGCATCCCGAGGCTGTGGAGTGCAGCCGGGATGCCAGCAGAAGGCTTGGCAGGTCAGGGAACGCCATGTCAGGAGCCCCAGACTTGGTGAGCCAGAGGCAGACAGGTCAGCATGTTCTCCCCTTCCCTGCCCACCCCACGGGCCCCACATGGGGTCAATGGGCTCAGGTCGGGCTGTCCTCACAGGGCAGATGGCAGCTGTCAACATTGACTACCCCAATAGCCGCCAGCACGCGGTTGAGTCTGAGCGGCTAAAGAAGGCCAGGCTGCATGTGGAGAAGGCCATTAAGGTGAGGAGTTTGATTTCACATGGCCCTGAGATGCCACATGCTTGCATTTGTGCACCTGTGGCTCAGGAGAGCTGAGCCAGAGGACTGGGGTGGGGCAGGCTGAGCTCGCTGCTCTCCCCACAGGAGAAGAAGATCTTTGCAGTGCAGGGCCCTTATCCCGTCATCCGCCGCCTGCTGCGGGCCCGGGGCTGGGTGGAGAGGAAGCTGCCCCGCAATGGCAGACAGCTGAAGCAGCATCCTGGCGACCAAAAGAAACAGGAGCTGGAGAAGAGGGCAAGTGGTGGCGGTGATGAGCAGGGGGAGGCAGTGCTGAACCCACGTGGTGGGGCACAGCCTTCCCTGGGCACCACAGAGCCCCTGCACCACCCATGGTCACGCAATAAGGAGAGCAAGGGGGAAAGGGAAGATGAAGACAAGAAGGAAGACAAAGAGCACTGCAGTGAGGACTCTGATGACATCCATGACCTCATGGTTAGCTAAGAGGGCTAGGGCTGAGCTTTGCCACAGCTCCCCACGTCCTTCCCCTGGGACCCTCAGGGGCAGCCTGAGGCAAGGGACTGGGGCAGGATTAGGACTCCCTGTCTCACCCCAGCCCACTCCCTCCTGCAGTCCTTCCTGGCGCAGGACCAGGTGCCAAACTTCCTGTGGACCATTCGCCTTAGCAACATTGACCAGGAGCTGCTGCCAAAGATTGAGATGGTGAACCGCTTTCCCCGGCTGTACGCGCTTTGCACCAAGGTGGGAGCACAGAGGCCTCAGGGATGGGGTCGCAAGGGGTGGGGGTGTCCAGAAGGAAATGACAAGCTTCTCTAAACAGGAGGGGCTGTGTCAAAGCCTGCAAAACTTATCCTGGTTTGAGCAAGTCGACCTGAACACCTTTTTCCCCCGGTGCTACCGGCTGGGGCTCATGGACGAGCAGAAAGCTTTCATCGGTGAGCCTGGAGCTGTTGCCCTCATGTCATCCCTCGTGCTCCAGTCTTCCCACATTCTGTGCAGGACTGGCTAGGGATGATGCTTCCTTCTTGCAGAGGATTTCCGCCTGACGGCAGCTCGCAGCCTGCTCAAACTGGCCCTGCAGAAGGTCGAGGACAGGCGGGTGGGGACAGAGCAGTCCCCAAAGGTGCCAGGTGAGTGCATGGAGCTGGCTGAGCGGGATGGAGGCGGGGGATGAAACAAGGAGTTCAGGGTTAGGGGCATGTCTGAGGGCTGAGCTTGGAGACTAAGCCTCTGCTTATGTCTATGGCTTGAGACCACTTATTCCCTCCCCTGCCATAGCTCCAAAGGCACCCGTCCCACAGGGAGGCTCAAGGCTTCAGCTAGCCTGGCATAGGAATCCTTTCTCTACCCATGCCATCCACAGCAGGGCCGCACTCCCCCCTGTATCCCCAGCTGGTGCAGGAGGCCCTGGAGGTCTGTGAGCAGCACCTGGGCGTCCTTGGGCACCGGGACATCGACAGGAACACCCCGTCGCCCTGCCGGACATGCATCGCCTGGGACCGCTTCCTGCAGGAATATTACCGCGTGGCACAGTGAGTGCTGAGCGAGACGGGGGCAGGGGGACGGTGGCGGGGCGGTGCTGAGCCCCCCGTGTCCCCCCACAGTGAGGGGACCAGGCTGGTGCTGAGCACGGAGCAGCAGGAGCAGTGCCAGGACGTGCTGCGGCGCCTGGAGGAGCAGCTGCCGCAGCTCGGCATAGAGGGCAACCTCAACGTCTGGATCCTCAAGCCCAGCGCCAAATCCCGCGGCAGGGGTAAGGCTAGGGGAAGCATGGGGCACGCACATCCCCACGGAGAAGGGATCCCACCATCACTGTGTTGCCCAGGCATCGTCTGTGCGACGCGGCTGGAGGAGGTGCTGGAGCTGGCGCGGAGCTGCACGGACCCCGCGGCGCGGGTGTGCGAGTGGGTGGTGCAGAAGTACGTGGAGCGGCCGCTGACCATCTTCGACACCAAATTCGACATCCGGCAGTGGTTCCTGGTGACTGACTGGAAGCCACTGACTGCCTGGTTCTACCGAGACTGCTACCTGCGCTTCTGCTCCCAGCCCTTCTCCCTGCGTCACCTGGAGCCGTGAGTGTCCTCCCCCTCACCCCCGGCTCGCAGTGCCCAGCCCCCCGGCACCCCCTGACCCAGCCCCGCTCTCCAGCGCCAGGCACCTCTGCAACGTGTCCATCCAGAAGCGCTACAAAGCATCACAGCCGGACCCCCGCGTGCCCCCCGACAAGATCTGGTCCAACAAGCAGTTCCAGGCATACCTGGCACGGCTGGGGCGGGCGGATGCTTGGCAGCGGGTGATGGTTCCCGGCATGAAGGCGGCGATCCTGAACGCCCTGCGCTGCACCCGGGATCAGGTGGGCTCCCGCAGGGGCAGCTTTGAGCTCTTCGGGGCCGACTTTCTCATCGGGGAGGACTTCCAGCCCTGGCTGCTGGAGATCAACTCCTGCCCCACCATGAGCCCCTCCTCGGCGGTGACCTGCCGGCTCTGCGCCAACGTCCAGCGGGACACGCTGCGCCTCGTGCTGGACCGCAAGGACAATCCCACCTGTTCCATTGGTGCCTTTGAGCTCCTCTACAGGGAGGTAGGCTGGGGGCTGGGGACAGCCCCACCTCAGGCACCCCGAGCCCCCACTGCCCCTTGTGTCTCCCTGCAGGCAGCCGTGTCCTCATGCCTGACTGTGGGGCTGAAGCTGATGGTCACCGGCTGTTCCCTAAAGAAGTCCCGGCAGGCAAAGCTTCGATCCCAGGACAAGCCCCCCACCACCATACCCAGTGCTCCCCAGTTCCCTGCATCCTCTCAGGACAGAGCCACCAAGGTCCCCTGGTCCAGAGCATCACGGGAAAAGCTGCCTCCTCTGAGGCCGCAGAGCAGCTGCTGCCCACCCAAGCCTGAACCACCAGCAGTGCCAGAGCCCCCAGACGCCTCTGCTGGGAGCCAGGAGCTGCCATGGCTTCTTCACCTGGTTAGGCAGCCCGAGGAAGCTCAGCCCCAGATCAGTAGCTGTCCCAGGGATAGAGTGCCAGGACCACCAACCCAGGGCCCCCCCAGGAGCCCCTTGCAACCCTCAGGCTGCTCTGCTGGAGACCAGGAGTTGCCATGGCTCCTTCATGTGATCAAGCAGCCCGAGGAAGCTCAGCCCCAGGAAGCTCAAGCCCAGACAGCTTCACCGCCGATCACCAGCTGTGCTCTGGATAGGGGGCCTGTGCCGCCGCCCTGGGGAGCGACCAGGAGTTCCTCGCAAGCTCCGGGTGGTTCTGCTGGGAGCCAGGAGCTGCCATGGCTCCTTCACCTGGTTGGGCAAGCCGAGGATGCTCAGCCTCAGGAACCTCAGCCCACGGCAACTCTCCCCCCGACTGATAGCTGTCCTCCAGATAGGTCACTACCACCCCAGGAAATGCACAGTAGGCCCTGGCGACCCCCGGGCTCCTCTGTAGGGAGCCAGGGATTGCCACAGCTCAGTCAGCCGGGTGGGCAGCCCCAGGCCACTCGGCACCACACAATTCTGCCCCCAGTCAATGCCCGTCGCCTGCCGAAGGGGCCTGTGCCACAGCCCTGGCGACCCTCGGGCCGTGTACCGACTCCTGCAGGACTTCCTGCCAGGCCAGCGCGCCCGTCTGCGCTGTAACAGAGCTCCAGGACCCCCGGTCCCCATCTGGGACAGAAGAAGCACATGCCAGCTTCAAGAGGATGCAGAAGACCTGGGACACAAAGACACCCCCACGAGGGGACAGCGCCCTGCCTGTCCCGGATGGGGTAACACAGCAGCACCCGGCTGCCTCCCACACGGATGAGACCCCATTGCTGTGCCACGATAGCCATCTCAACCCACACACCTGCTTTAATAGACTTTTGTGAGGAGGAGCCTGGCTTGGACCTTCTGTGTGTGGGAGATGTGGACACAGCTGGGGATGATGCTGCAGGCAGGAACCGGGGCTGCCAGGGCAGCTCCTCTGCTGGGATACAAACAGAGGCAGGAAAAGCTGCCTCCACTCCTGCCTGCCTGCAGTGACTCCTGCCAGACAGAGCTGTGACAGTGATGACATTGCTGCATCCTGGCACTGGGAGCTGGCTAGGCACAGATTACTGGCAGGGCGCAGGGCTGGTGGCCCTGCAATGCCAGGGGGATGCCAGGAGGAATCCCATCCTGTGTATGTGCCAAGAAAAGTGGGCGCTTGAGCCTGGCAGTAGGTGGGGATTAATGGGCTGGCAAAGGCAAGTCAGGTGTCCCCAGAACTCCCCTGTGGGCATGAGGGCTTCTTGGATATACAGGAAAGGAGGTGGGGGGAGTGCAGAGGGGGCCCTGGGGCAGCACCAGCTCCTGCAGCTTCCTTTTGTGACAAGGTAACACAAGTTGTTATAGAATCACAGAATCGGTCTGGTTGGAAGGGACCACAGTATATCATCTTGTCCCACCCCCCTGCTCAAGCAGGATGATCCCAGAGCACATGGCACAGGATTGTGTCCAGGAGGTTCTTGATTATCTCCAGGGAGGGACATTCCTTAGTCGCTGTGGGGGATCTGTTCCAGTGTGTATGAGTTCTTCCTGGCAGGTGGAACTGGCACTGCCAGGGCAGCTCCTCTGCTGGCAGAGAGCTCACAGGATCTCATGGCTCCCCAGTGCTTGTGCCCAACAGGCCCTGTGCCTGCTGCTGTTCTCTGAGAATGGCTGGGCCAGGCCCCTTCTGCCCCTCTCTGGGCTGGGCAGACATGACCAGTGCATGACACATCAGCTGCAGAAAAAGTCTGGTGCTTCTGGCAGAGTTCTGACATGGAGATTAGCTGGGGGAGTCCTCTGCTGTTAGAGCCAGGTCCTCAGGCCTCCTCTCTGCAAGAACCACAAAGTTCTTCCTCACTGGGGAACTCCTGCTATGTTAAGGTACAGACAGACCATTTTCTCCTGGCTGCATTCATCAGGGCCACTGGGAGCAAGTGGAAGAGAACCTTGGATGCAAGGAGAAAATCAAACCTGGCCAGCAGCAGGGGCCATCTCCTGAATCAGTTTGGATCATGTACCTATGATGGTGAGTAGCCCCTGAAAAAGTTGTTTGGCAGAGCAAGTACTGAGAGGGGAGCATCTTCTGTTCCCCTAGGAAATCCTTATAGGCATCATCCTTGTGCCTTCTCATCCCAGCCAGAATGGGCTGCACTCTCAACAGTCTTCACATGTAGTTCCACAGAAATAAAGGGAGAGGTGCTGACTTAATTGATGTTTGATAGCTACAACTCAGTCAGAAAACCCAGTGCTCAGGAAACATTTTTGCATGACTAGTCAACTCATTCAGATGCCAGTGGCCCAGAGGCAGAAGTTGGAGCAAATGGAGGGGCTTGGCTGGAGTCAGGAAGAATCTTTCAAGACTGTTCTCAGGGGTGGCAGTGAGGATGTATTTGGAGACTCCCCCTTGTACGTCAGCAGTGGAGTAGGAGAGTCTTGCATGAAGCAATGACAGCAGCATAGGAAGATTCTAGGGATGTGAGAGCAGGTGTCACAAGGACAGTCCAAGGATGAAGATCCACAGCTTGAATGATGTCAGCAGAAATAAGGGTGTTGAACAAAGTGCTGGAAGTAAACTGAGCAAGGGGAAGAACTGTGGTAATGGACTGGTTATGGAAGAGCTGAGTGATCATTTGGTGGATGGATTCAAAGGGGGCCAAGGGATAGTCAGAGAGAGAGAGAGACCTTGGTAATAGAGAGGAAAGCTCTGCTCTCCCAAGTGACAGATCCTTCTGGGAAGCTGAATCAGTTGTGTGTCAGAAACTGTATGGAGAACAAGGAAATTTGCAGGTAGGAGTTCAAACAGATTACTACTGTGACTCAGTCTCTTAAGATGGGTAACACAAGTAAAAAAATAAATCAAAGGGGGAAACCAGTGCAGAAAAGTTAAGCAGAGAGCAGTAACAAAAAAAGGAAATATGAACTCTGCACATGTACACAGTTTAAGGCCAGAGGAGTTGTATGGCAGTGCTGCTTCACAATCAGGCTGTCATCTAACCTTAGTCACACTTTGTCACGTGACTTTTAAGTTCAAACACTTGTGAAGCCTTCATGGATTGTTTCAAACTAACACAAGTACCTTGGGCTGGCTGCCCTTGCTCCCTCAGAGTGCTTCATGTCCTGCTGGATTCATGCACACCTAATTCCCTATTTCATCCATACCCCCACCCAGGCAGCCCTCATGTATCTACTCAAAATGGAAACATGCACAATGAGTCCCTTGGTGCAGTTCCTTGTTCCCAAGGCTTCCCTAAACCTCCCTGGAATTTCCCCAGCTTGCCTCTGCTATGGATGTTCAAGGAGGAAGTTGTAATCACAATTACCTTGTGCTAAGCAAACAGGGCATCAAATCATTGCTTTGATACCACAACAGCTTCAATAAAAGGCACAAAATAGCATATATATGATAGAAATTCCTTTCACTCCTCAGATTAATCTTACAGGTATCCTACATCCAGTACATGTATTTTTCCCAATTTATCATATATTTCACTAAGTATGTATTTATGACTGAAATACAAGAACCTGCTTTTTCCTCCCCATTTTAAATACATTTACTACTCAGTTGGGTGTTTCTGAAAGGCAACTTGCAACACAAATATTGTTCTAGTCCCAGTAATCTGTGCTCATATGCTAATGCAAAACAGACAAAAATTCCACAAAGTGGAATTCTTGGGCTGCTGTAAGTACAGTGGAGCTAATAAATACATTTACAGCTTAGGACTTTTGAATGGCTCCTGAATAACCCAGTTTTATCAATTGTTTGAGATTGAATCCCAGGAAATTAAATTTAGCATTACTACTGCCACAAATCTCTTGCCATAGCTCCAAGGAACACTTCATGTATAATATCAAATCAGGGAAGACTTTCAGTAGGAGGAATTGTATTGACTTTAATAGGCTGGAGGGAAGGAGGATTTCCTCATCCCTAAGTAAGGGCTTCACTTCTTGCCCCCAAAATGAACTTGACTGGGGCAAGGCTAAATCATGATGTGTTGGCGTTATAAGCCATGGAGACCTCCTGGAAGAAGGCAGGGGGAAAAAAAAAGTTAAAGTAGCAGAGTATTTGCTGAGTGTGATGTTACAGAAGGATGGGGTCAATAAGTCCTCTTCTACTACCAGCAATGCCTGTACAACCCAACAACTCTTCTCCTGTGGCACAGGTTTTGCAGGGAAATCAAACACTCTGGAGCTACTACAACTGTTGCAGCCTGTGACGTGCTGCTTACAGGAGAAACAGAGCCCAGGGACCCCCAAAGGCAGGACAGCTGTAGAAACACAGAAATCAGTCTACAAACAGGAATCTGTTAGTTCTGTGCAATGCAGCTCCTACCCGGTGACTAAAGATGCCAGAAGAAGCCTGGCACATCGTAGGGAATTGCTGTTGAGCTGTGCAACCATTACACAGGACACAAGAGCCAAAAGTAGCTTCAAATTGCCTATTAATTCTGGATGCCTGTCAGCAATTGTCTGATGAGCCAGAGTGAGCTGGCATCTTCTACAGAGGAAAAAAAAAAATCAAATATAACCATTATTTAAAAGAAATAGCTAAAGAATCATTTCATCATGACTTCCATCCCCTTTTGCCTTTTAGTCCCCTTTCACAATGGCTGGTTCCTCCTGGCAGGACTCCCCTCTCAGCTTGCTGGAGCTGCTTAGCCCTGTTCTTCCCCCATCATTTACCCTGTCCCAGCTGAGGGGGTCACACTGGTAAAGGTGCAGGGCTCCCCTCCCAGCTGGCTTGAGCTGCCTGTGAATTGCCAGCAGCTGGGGGTATCTTCTCCCAGCCTGAACATTCAATGCTTCTTCCTTGTCACCGTGTGACTCTGAAAGCTTGAAAGCTTTCCTGGGTGAACAGATTTTAATTTACTGGTAAACAAGGAATATCCACCTTCTGACAGTCAAACCTCTATGTACTGACAGGCTCCATCCCTATTTGAAACACTGATTTGCATCTTTTTGTAAATGAGTTTGCTGAGGCCAGGCTTGTGCAGTGTGCTTTCAGTGTGGGAGGAAGCTTTACCTGAATATAAAAACATTCAGTGAAAATGAATTTCAGAGATGCATGTTGTTCTGCTTACAGAAACCAGTTTTAATGTGACTTCAGCAGTCACAGCAGGATTTGAAAAATGCTGAAATATGGTCCTTTTAAATAAAATTTTCATGAGGTATGTAATCAAAACTTTAAAACTGACCATTTTCTTTCAGGCTCAAGATAGGGTTATAAATAAAAAAAAAAAAAACAAAACCAAACCAAAAAAGAAAGAAAAAAGGAAAAAAAAAAGAAACTTCATCCTAAATATCTCTGTTTTAACAGAATTTTGAGACTTACCATCAATAGTTTTCACTAAAATAAATAACAGCAAATCTGTAGGTTTTGGGCAGTTCTGTTTCCTTGACTATTTGCATACTTATCCAGTCAGGGAAGACAAACAATTGCTCACGACAGGTCTGACCCATCACCACCAAACACCTCAGTTGCAAGGCTGAATGTTAACTACTGCTTGTTTACAGGGAATGCTTGCAGCAGTCTCAGGAGCTTGGGAGAGGTTGGATCACTCCAAAGGGTGACAGAGCCCTTGGCATAAGAGTGGGTTTGGTGTAAATCCCCACTGAGGAGCTCTTTTTGCTTT